AAACATCTCGTTGATATTTTCAGTAGTAAATGGTACCAATAACAGCACATTTGAGCAATGCAATTGTAGTGGATAAAATGGTCAATTTTTCCGTGCAGTACTGTACGGATTATACGCTCCTCACCAGTTAAGAATTTGACTGAGAGTTGTCTCCTTTCTTTTCTGGCCTAGTGCTGTTCTTTTCTACTTTGCACCGGTTAAACTAAAGGTCACATCGCTAGAGAAACTAAACGAAGTATACTTCCCAACCCAAAAAAAAACCATTGTGAAGGTTTTATTCCTACTGTATTGCTGCCTGTTTAACACTAGTGTCTTGCAATGGGTTTCAGGGTAAATTAAGGGATAGGGACATTAGCAGTTATTATTATTACACATTTCAAAACGAAAGTTAAACTTTTAAATGGATATAAAGAAAGAAAAAATAACACATGAATCTAATAATTCAGTGGAATTGCCAGTTAAATGAATCAGTTGTTGTATAATGCCTCAACTTGGGCTAAGCATAAATCCATAAGGTGCGTGAAGTTATTCACCCCAATCGCAGATCTAAACAAAACTTGTATGAGAATTATGTGGTATTAATGTGCTAATGGGTCAAAAAAAAATTTTCTGTGCAGCAGAATAAGGTACTCTTTAAAAATTTCAAAAGACGGGGTGTAGCAAGAGGACAAGTTACAATCCTCTCAAGTAAAGAGTAACTAGAAACAGTTGCCGCCACACTGGAATTAAGTGCTTCAGAATTAGGCCAGAATACAAGTGTTAAATTTTTCAACTCATTCCCTTTGGGCCAATCCCTCCCCTCTTGGAAGAACACCAATGATGCTCGAAGTAGGGTGGGATTGGAGTACAAAAATTGCTTCTTATTACATTAGGAGCAGATAATTTCTATGCTTTTCATTTGAAAGCACATATGAAAAGATTATTAATTCATTTCATTGAAAATTTTTATAATAGATAGTAATCAAAATCTGAACCACAATAAAATCTTTTATTGTTTCATAGTATTAGTAGAACCTCAAACTTCTTTAAAATTTAACAATTGAGTTATTTTTCTTTTTGATTATGAAATCTCAAAAACTTGATTTCTAACCTCATTCTGAAGCAGATGAATCCAACGTGGTGACGGCTATTTTTAATTATTCCTTACTTCAGGAGGGTCTGACATGTCGTGATGTTACACTCCGTATTTTGGAAATTTTTCAGAATTGCTGTATTTTGCACCACAATAGACTTTTCCTTCTTACATAATGAGCACATTAATAAAACATAAATCTCATAGTTTTGTTTGGACATATTTCTCAAAATATGTTGCAGGTACATGCACTTAATTTTAATGTTCAAAATGATAGATACAATTTTATTAATTTATGATTGAATTTCTGATGCAGTTTATCATTACTGATAATTAAATCTTTTTTTTATAGCGATTATAGCTTTACTTTTGGTCTATTAATATTGGTATTTCTTTTACCTTGTAGGTAAATATAGAGTGGTCAACATTCAACAGCAGAAATAAAGAAGTGAACACATCAAACTAGCTAATAATATAATAATGTCTACCCTAGAGAGACAACTTTGATTGTAACTATGATAATACATTCTAAACGTGTTAACAATTCTTTTATTCGATTGTTTTTTCAAGTAGGTAAAAGACTAAAAAGTTTCACTTCTTTTTTTGTCAACAGACAACTGAATGTAAAAATACTCAAAGGTGTAGAACCTTTAGAAAGGTTAGTAGATAGGCAACCTTCATTCGCCATCAAAATCGCGTTTATTATCTTATGAAGCTTGTACAGAGCATTATCGTACAATACAAATACATTTTATGAGTTTTAATGTTAATTTATGACGACCTGCAAAAAATATCTGCATTTTAAACAGATCAAGGGGGTGAACCTACTGTATAGAATCTTAATACTGTGATGTTACAGTCTTCAGCTGAGCACCCGCAGAAAAGATGGCGTACGATGACAGCTGTCAAAGATGGCTGACAACAGCTGATAGTCGTAACGCCAGAGTATGAATGAAAAAAATATACATGGGATTCTGTTGCCAAACGAAAGTTGCCTATCTATTGTATTAAGACATCTTTTTTAGGCTAAAACATTTTATAAACGTTAGCAGAATTTTAAAATTAATAATAATAATACGTAATAGGGTAATGGAGGCGGATTATTAGAAACAAATATGAACATTTTTACAAAATAGGTACAAAAAACAAGTAACAAAAAAAAAGATGATAAAAAAAATGTATGAAAAACCGAGGTACCAAGCTGTTTCATAACAACATCTTCTAGATAAGCATAAATACAATATATGCATAACAAGAAACATTTGGCCCTTATTTGTTTAAATTGTTTTATTTTTGTGATTTCTGCTCAAAAATTGCCTTCATGTCTTTTATACAGTACGATGGAGGAGATTTCTCTTTTCTAGAAAAAAAAAAACGGAATACCCACCATTAGGTTATGTTTTGTAAGTCATGTAGAACAAGCGCACATGCAGGATTATTATAAATAAAAAATCAAACCCTTGGCCATTGAATTGTCGAAATCAACATATATGTATTGTGATTTCCACGATGTTGGATTGCGATTTTTATGTTATTACTTATAGGTATTACTTTTTCAAGAGCAGTATCAACTGCAGGGATTGAAAGAGAATATAACAGAAAAGAAGAAAACAATTTGTCATGTTTGTGCGGAATGCTCGTCATTAAATTGATTGTTGGCGAAATAAGAGTAAATGATTTAGAGGTTAGAAAGACATTGTCATTGAACAATTGATTTCTGCGCATGCCCATAAACATCAGCGCATGCGCTCAAAAGACTAATTTCATTTCCTCCCGACTAAAATACGGCTGAAAAGAGGCCATTTCTTCCTTATTTCATAGCATGCAAAACGAACTTTCCACGCTAACATGACAAAAAACAATTTTCGATGGGAAAGTCAAATATGGCTGCAGAATTACACCAGCAAATTGAAATTTCGACAAATTCTAACCTCAATACCAAGCAGGCCAAATTAGCATCTTTACGATTTTGAAGTTATCTTATTATACGATGTTCACATTATCGGGCTGTCTTTATCTAATTTAAGTTTCAGATTCTTTATAAAAAATTAGACTGCATATGCGCATGAAACTGCTGTTGTAATTATTTATACCACCAACGTGCACTTTAAGGTAATTAAGGATTATTCTAAGGATCCACTCGTTAAAAAAAAAAACAAAAAAAAAAATTACCTGGGACTGCTACTTTCCAAACTAATCCTTCTCGTTCTTTCGCTGTCCGTGTCCCTCTCTCTCGTTTCGTACGTATGACGTCTCCTTTCGTTCCTGTTACTGTTGTCCTCTCTCAACTTGTTCCTAATAATCTCCTGACCAAAATCATTGATCTTATTATCACATTCTCTTGGGTTACTTCTTGCGTCAAAATTTTTTCGTATAATCCCTGGTGATCGAAAATCAGCAGCCCTTTTAGATACGAACTTATCGCTCGATGATTCATCCCTGTTCACGTCTCCAACTTCATCACCAACTGATTTTTTTCTAAATCCTGTCCCTCCAAAGGCGTTCCTAGAGCCTGTTGTGTCATGTCCCTTGTTACTGTCCTTAACAGGCTCATTGTTTGACTGTCCCACGGGATGATACTTCCTTTCAAAGGTGTTTTGAATTTTCTTCTCGTTATGTTCTTGTGGTTCGACCGAAGAAATATTTCTTTCTGTGTCAATTGGCGTGAAAGTGCGACCTCGGCTGTTTTGTAAATTTTTTACGTCTTTGTCCCCCTTTTGGGTCCAATTAATGTCACCCTTTGTACTCTTGTTCAAATCGTTTTTCTTCGAAAGGATTTTAGGCTTTTCTGATGAATTGTGGTTATTGATCTGAGATTCGAAAATTGCAGTTTTTAATTTAATACTTTCTATCACGTCACCGCCACTTTTTGACTTGTCTTTGTCACTTGATTTGCTATAAGCTCCGTTATTTTTGTTTTGGGGAAGCTCCTCAAAAACTTCTTCATCATTAATTTTTCCTTCCACATCTGCTGTTTTAATTTCCTCGCCTGCGTCGATCTTTTCTTCTTCACCTTCCTTGCCTTTGACACCTTTCTGCTTCATTCGGGACAGAAGTACTTCCTTGTTTTCCTTGAAGGATTCAGATCTGTACTTTTCGTGTAGGAATTTCCTTCGTTCTTCCTTGTACTTTTCAATTCGTTCTCTGTTGAGTTTTTGGTCTGTTAGGGGTAGGAGACTGTGAGAACAGTGAATATCCAGATCAATTTCGAGTGGAACTGGTTTGGGAGGATTTAATGTCTTCGGTAAATCATTCACTTTGTAGGAGAGGCTTTCGTCCAGGGATTTCCTCCGAGTCAATGACTGGTCACCAAACTCCCTGCTAAATTCATCTTCATCTAGTGATCGCGTTTTGGCAGAATTTCGTAAATGCTTAGCCCTCAAACAGGGCGGTAAGCAACTTCTGTCGTAATAAACACGTCTTTCCTCTCCCAATGAAGAACTGCTACCAAATAGACTATCCAGTTGAACCTTTTCCCGACTCTTATCTGGATTTCTTTCAGGTTTTGGACTTGGAAGACTTAGAGACGGCCTTTGTCCCCTATTACCTCCAAATAGGGGAGGTTTGTAGTCGACCAGATCCGATTCTTTGGCTTCAAATTTATCTGTTAATGATTTCACGTTAACGCCTACTTGTGTTTGATTGTTGCTTTTGATTTCCGGATTGTCTTTGGAAGAGTCGTCTATCGTTAAGGCACTGTCGCATGTTTGTGAAGGCACGGTTTCGACGTTCTTCTCAATATTGATCCTATCAGATTCTAAAGAATCGAAAGACACCGGACTAGCAGCTGATTTGGGTTGCTTATCTTCATTAACGTCTGTAGAGATGTCACATTCAATCTCTTTTTCGACTATACTTTGACTTTCAGTTGAAAGCTTATCACATACTTCTGGTTCCAGACTGAAGTCAGGACGCACATTCTGTAGATTTGAATTTTTATTGTTAATTTGCTCTTTTGATTCCGGGCTCATGTCTAAAAGTGCGTTCACTTCGTGCACAGATCTGCGAAAGTATTTGACCTGCTGGTAAATGTTGTTCTCGTCATCTATCGTTTCCTCTTCCGATGTACAAGATTTCCTTTTATCCGTTGTTGCATTTCGTAAAGCCTCTGTTGGGGTATTCGGACTGAATTCAATGAGATTTATACTTTTAGGTCTGTCGTCATTCAGATCTAATCGAAGACCTTCTCTGAGATTTTGTATCTCCTCCTTTAGGCTGAGGCAATTGCCAATTCCATCACCCACTAGTTTTATTTCTCTCAAATCCCGATCCTCGAAGGGACTGATGACGTTGTCAGTTAACTTAAGATATTCGGGATTGTAAAATCGTGCTTCCAACAAGTTTTCGGGCTTATCATCGATTATCAGACTTTCTTGACTAGAATCGTCGCGCGTTTTGGACTCTGGATCGCTGACAGCTGTATCTGACTCCGAATGGTTCGTGTCTTGCAACGAGCTTACAATCGGACTGAGCCTGCTGGGACTTCCGGGAAAGTTTAGGGACGAATGACTAGTATTCAGAAGCTCCGTCGATGTCTGGACTACTTCACTAAGAGAAGATGCCGTTGGACTCAACACCAACGTGCTCTCATTTTCATAGAAGGAATTGTCCGTTATAGTTAGTTCGTTATTAGTTCCCATTGATGCTTTCATTGAGTCACTGTTCCCTTTTATTGTGGAAGCTTCTTCACTGCAGCTCCTGCTGTCCCTGTCCATTGACGGATCACTTTTCCACAATTTTGTATCTGACTCGATTATTGCGGATGTCATATCGGTCGCTTTGTTGAAATCTGTGGCGCCTGCACTCTTGGGCCGATTTTTTTCAGGACCAATAACGTCTAATGTGTCGTTCAATACAAAATTGGGTTGAGTGGCCTGTTGCAATGGTAATGATGCTGCTACCGTGGGAACAACAGCTTGTTCGGGATTGAGAACGTCCACGTTCTCGTAATCCCCAGTTGAGTTCGGACTCTTTGGCGTTCTCACAGGGGATTTGTATGTGATACTGATCGTGGTGAGTATGTTTTCGTAGACGGGACTACTAGATTTTCGATCGACATTTTCATAGACGGGCGGTTTACTGTCGGAACCCTTGTTGAGATTCTGATACATCTTCTGGTACGGGACGTCTTCGGGGGTTTGAAGAGGACTTACGTTTGCACTCGAATCATTCAATCGTTTGTACTTAGGTGACTGCGGACTTGCGAACGAGCTGCTTTGGTTCGAAACGTTGGCCGATAGAAATTTTAAATGACTTTCAATGTTCGACTCGGTTAATGATTTTGGTATCGATGGAGGTTTGTTGGTCGTGGTTTTCTCGAGGTTGAGAGATTGACGTTTGAACTCAACCTCCGAATTACGGGGCGACTTATTCTTAGGCTGGTAGGATTCGAAGACGTCCGCTGTTTTTTGAATTTCGTCTGGTTGCTGGTGGATGACAGCAGTTGTTGAAAAGATGTAATTGTTTTCAGGGGTGTTGCAGTCGATATACTGAATGTCTGACAGCTGGTCTTCGAGGCGGGTGCGCTTCCGCGATATCGAGTCGGGGGAGAGAACGACGCGAGGTTGTTTTTTCGGCGAGGGGTTGTTCGATGACGTCGAATAGTCGTCCGTACGAGGCCGCGTAAGGTAACGACGAAAGGCCTTCGAAAAATTGAAATGTTATTTAAATTTTTTTTTTGTAAAATTAATTCTTACTACTTGCAAGCCTCTATTTTAGTAACACATGCACTTATGAATTCCTCTTCAAGGCCAGAACCTATGTTCTCTTCCAAAAATTTGGAAAAAGTTGGTATGCGAACAAGCAATAGTTTGTTTTCGAGTTTTTAACGAATTTCTAAGTTCTCGATCCGAAATTCCACTCACGTTTTCGTTTATCACTCAAAACAGTTTTCAATCTTCGAACATTTAAAATTTGGCATTTTCCAAATCCAACTTGCACTAAATAATAGGGTACATGACCATTTTTTAAATTTTGGGTATAGGTTAATTTTTTTAACAGAAAAATATTAAAGATTCAACCTGCTGAGTTACCGTCATAAACAGTCAGATGAATGTCATCTTCTAAGTGATGTCAAAAACGTAATAAAATGTATGCGATTTCAGTGTGATTTATGATGACAAAGACGTAAGAGATTTGATGCAAATGAACTAAAAGAAATATGTAGCAGATTAATCAGAAGAATATTTTGTTTAAAATTGAAATTGAAGCTGGAGAGTGTGCATGTTTTCTGGAATGAATGAAACATTCAAATGTGACAAAACACTCTTTGAATGTTCTGGTTTATTTGAACCACTTACTTAATTCAAAATCGAAAACGTGACACAAAACATACACAGAGATTGTCTTGGCGGGTGAAATAAAATGTGATAACATGACAATCGCAATTTTGATAACAACCAATTAAATTGACATGCCATATTGTTCACTTTTTTTTATTTTTTGTGTCATTACAATATGTATAATGTAGCGAGCACGAGTGTGTTTGTGTGCGATCGGGTATACGTGTGCGTAAACGCCTTATCGATTCGCCGACTAGTCGCGGGCGCCTTTCTTCATTGCGCCGTATTTGTAAATGTGTGTATCGAACAGTTCAAATAAAAAATAAACTAACTGGATGTTTCCATACGGTTCCAGAAAGTAAACAAAAGAGTATTTAAAGGAAGAGACGGTCGCCGAGAGAGGAAGAAATAAGTTGACCGTCGTAGAACAATTCTTAACCAAAGTTTAATAATAATTTAATAGTGTTTTTAAGTTCTTTAATAATTAGTGTAAATAAATAGTTTTTGTCGTTATCAGTCTTAGAAGTTAACTTTGTTAAACCCCACGAACATTACAATAATAAAGCAAGTAACCCTTCAAGATTGTCTTTACAAACTCGTTAACTTTTATTTCACAGTCTTATCAAATGTAGAATCCAATAAGTCTCCTTCAATCATATAACCAAGTTTTGTGCTGTCATGTCTCATGTACCCTATTATTAAAATAAATAAATATGAAATTCCAAAACGGTTACATCTTCAAACAACAACTTTTTGATCACAATTTTGATACTTCAAAACGAATCAGTTGTTGTTTATTTGCTTCGTAAACACATTTAATTTATTTATCAACAGAATTAATAACAACAGATTAGTCCTTAGTACTATCATAATCTGGTCTTGATTATTGAAAGTCCAGTTTTATTCATAATCAATTACTTTCTTGTTTTCTAGAAATTTTGTGAAGATAAACAAGTTATAAACGATGAACGATAAGAACAATTGGATTTTTAGTGTTTAAAATTTGACTGTTACATTTATTATCTATAAAACGCTATAAAAATGAATAAATGAAAATGACTTACCACATCCTTTTGATTTCTAGGAGAACTGACCAAACTTTCGTCTTCTGAAAAAATCCTCATTTCTGACTCTTCAAGTTCAAAATTCAATTGGATTTCACTCAAGTCTAAAAGCGAACCCTCGGAATTATTTTGCGAATTTTGCAACGTGTCAAAGTATGAATCGTGCGAGACAGATCTGAAAAATCAAAATGACAAAAAAAAAAATAAATTAATGGTTTACGTAGGGGACGGGACGGTTTTATTTTACCTGTTATGACCCGGGGGTTTGTTGAGGTTGTGCAGGGGTGCCAAAATGTCTTCAGTACTGGCAGGCTCGGAATGCCCGGAAGTCAGACTTTCAGCCGATTTCACAGGTCGCAGTTTCCGTTTCATTTCAGTTAAATCGGATTCTGTAACAGCCTTTTCCTAAAAAAAAAAAGATAAACGAATATTGTTTAAAAAAAATATAGACCTTTGAAGTCGTCTTTGTAATTTACTGTAATGACTTTTACCTTTCGCATTTATTAATTTATTTTTAAGGCCATTGCAAATATTCCACGTATAAAAACATCTACTCTGCACTACCATTAGCACAATGGAATGCTTCATTCAACAAGAGAACAACAAAGAAAAGACAACATTTCTTATTAGCCGCGTCTTGCAAGAAAGCGAGCTCTTTCTTTATATTTACCGTCATTATTATGTTTCCGGGAGTGGATGCCTTTCTTGCTTTTGACAAGCTCCCTTGAGAGTTGTTTCTCGTTCTGGTAAAGAAAGACCTCCAACCCAGCGGTGACCTCTTGGAGAACCCTCGTTTTCTGCTTCCTGCAAAAACAATGACAAGAACTTAGTGATAGTAACCACGGACGGATTCTGTCCTGATTCGGATCAGTTGCAGTTGCTCGTTAGCGTTTTGCTAGGAGAAGTGACAAGCTTCTTCAGAGGTTTTTCCATGTACGATACTGAATGTTACCAAATCAGGACAGTATCAGTTCACCTACTGGCCGCGAAAGCCTTTATTAAATTTTACAGAAGAAAAAAAAATTAAAAAAAAATTTCATTGTACAATTGTATGGAACTCCTCTTCTATCCCAAAATTAAATATTCCTGATCAGTTTTTAGAAAACATCATTTCTTTATTTACCTGATGGTAATTCGATGATGGTGTGGTATTTCTTTGGTAGATTCCTGGGCCCTCCCCCCACCTCTATGTATCCACTCTCGTCCGATTTGCTCAACAGGTGTTTGCTTCGGGCTTCTTCCAACGTGATGAGTTTCGTTGGCGTGGATATGGCCAAGCTCTTGGGACGCAGGCGCTTGGGCGACATCGACGATTCAACGTCGAGGTTCGACTGTGCGAGGGTCGGAAGATGGTCGCAAAAGATGAGGTCGGTGTAACAAATTAGGAACTCGGTTACGACGGCCTGGAAGCGAAGAATCTCGCATAAGAAGACTGACTCATTGCGAAACAATGAAGACGATAGCTGCTGTCTTGTTTTGTAAATATTTCGCAGGAAAAAAAAAGAGAGAAAGAAAAAATCGCGATTCATCATAATGTGCATAATGGGTAAAAACAAGTGAGGTGACGAACAAAAATTATTTTCTCGGCTTTGATCATGATACGGATCAATTAGATACAGATATAAACAGAAAAGAAGTAAAAGTATACTTAGAAGATAAAACCAGAAGAAAGAAGATTGGCTTCGGTTATTTGTCGGCCTGTCTGTTTGTCGTAGCCCTTCAATCAATTTATATATTGCGGTTCATTCATTTTCACAATTCCTTTACATGACATCTCCAATTCAAGTTGACTAGTACGTTATATTTGAAATCCTAACTAATATTTTAAATACGAATGTCAGTTAGTTGGTTGTGACCTTTTCACGCCTTGACTACTCAACCGATCATCATGAAATTTTGTACACACATTGCTAGAGGAACAGAAAAGGACATAGAGTACTTTTTATCTTGAAGGATAGAAAGAAATCTGTTTTATAACTCATTTCAAAAGATTGGAAATGTGACCTTGAGCAAAACAGCGCAAAAAAATGAATAAAAATACAGAAATAGTTTAAATTTTGCCAGGGCGCAACCAAATAAAGGGAAGTGGCACATCTCTAACCGTTTGAAATGAGTTGTATGTGGTCGTCCGGCAAGTCAATTCCGCCTCCCGTTTCCAATAATTAAACCAACGACGTACAACAAACAAACTCAGGTAATATAAGCCAAACGTGCCCAGATCGCAACGTTATTATTAGATGCAACGCATCGACATTATTCAATCATCGAGTAATTATCCTAAATCGACTTACGTAGACCTAGTATCAGTAGCCAAGCAACCTTCGACGGTCAATACCGATTGATCGTCAGATCTGCCACTTGACGACTTTATATTTCATGAATAACTGTTGTTTATATAATATCGAGTTACGATAGCATGTCGTCATCTACTAATATTTGCTGCTAACTGATAGACATATTTAAATGTTAGACATGGCCCTTAGTTCTTGATCAATTAGATCAATGCTGTCTCTCATATATGTAAAAGGCGTAAAAACAAATTACTAAGAACGGATTAAGTTGTTGATCAGTAATTTATCTTCCTCGACTTCATCAGCAGGAAATTTTACGACTAGCATAATAGCATCTTATCTATAAATGTATAAAAGAAAGTCGTGTTAGAAAATACTACAAATGGCGTGGTGTGCGCCATCTGTAGTACGATGCTACATTTGAGGATTACATATGCTCCAACAAGGTCCATTTAAAAATATGGATATCTACTTGTTGAAACGAATCCCGGCGTAGCTCACCTCAACGTGATAGGCACGTTCCCATAATCGAACAAAATAATTCGAAGTGGTCTGTATTCTGTCGAAACTGCCAGACGCGGATCGCGATTTCGATCTTTTTGGATCTCATCAGCGCGTCGCAGGCAGCTCCGACAGAACACAGACCAACCTTTACCTGCTGTCTTAACAGCGCGTTTTAGAAAATACTACAAATGGCGTGGTGTGCGCCATCTGTAGTACGATGCTACATTTGAGGAGCTGCCTGCGACGCGCTGATGAGATCCAAAAAGATCGAAATCGCGATCCGCGTCTGGCAGTTTCGACAGAATACAAACCACTTCGAATTATTTTGTTTAAAAGACGTGTTAGTTACACTATTTATAACACAAGAACGGCTGAACCGATTGGGCTGAAAATTGGTGGGGAGGTACGTTAGAACTAGGAGACGGACATAGGATACTTTTTTTATCCCGTTCTCATGGAATTTGACGTAAAACGTGGTATAACAAAACGCAACTGACAGCAAAACGAAAAATTTATCAGTCAAAACATCAGTCTAGCCGTTCATTTGTTACTCTGTTTTGGGGGGGGGGAGTGGTGAAGAGGAGTTGCAATGTTTTAATGGAACATATATTATTTGTGATCAGATTTACTTGAAACTTGATCTTAATGGTCTCTTATTTAATTTCTGAAAGACCTATCTTAACATTTTAAAAAATTCAACCTCTAAAGGGGGGTGGGGGGTAAAAAGGTGTTGCAATTTTTGTTTGGGACATACTTTATTTGTGGTTGAATTTACTTGAAACTTGGTATATATGCTGTTTGACATTATTAATCAAGTGAAAACAGGTTGCAACGTTTCCATGGGGTATATTTTATTTGTACTCGGAATTTCTCGAAGGTTTCTCATTGTTGAAATTTGGCAATTTTTAAAAACCAACCCTTAGGATGAAATGTTGTTGCTACGTTTGTATTTAAAATCTAAAATGGCGAAATTACGTAAAATTGAAAAGTTGTAAGGGTGAATTGGGAGTTAAAAGGTTTTATGGAGAAACAATATTAATTTCTGCGAGCGAAGCCGCGGGGAAAAAGTAGTATTAATATAATTGTGAGTTTTAACGTCACTGGTGAACTATTGTAATATCATACTATACAAAATGAACTGTATCGGAGGTATTAGTCGTGATATTGCAGCCTCAAAGTTCGCGAAAGACGCGGCAACCATATCCGGAAGCCACGAACATAACATCAAAGTAAGTACCAAAACCGCGAAAGGTTTAAATAGAAAAAAAAGTAATAATAAATTGATAAAATGGGTGATACTTGAAAATAAAATGGAATGTTGGAAGAAAAACGTGGCGAGACGGAGACGAAGAAATAAAAGAAACAAATACCTATTTATAAATCGTGATAGTCAGATTAGTTACGCATCACTTGGAGCTTACTTCTTTTTAAAAAGAATTTTTGCATTTCATTAATTCAATGAGGTCGCCTGGCAAATATTAGATACGAATAACTGTTTCCCAGAAAAGCGTGCATTTCGCGAGTTTCAACCAGTCATGTCCTAGTAGTCGAAAAGAAGTTAACTGGAGTACGTACCTAGCAGCAGTGACAACCGCATAATGAAATCAAAGAAACCTGGTTACTTAACAATATTACGGACGCATTTGTTTCGTTATGATGAGAATTGACGTCATCGAAAAACAGCAAGTCGGTTATCTAACAAAAATAGACCGATTCTATTCAAAAACGTCGTTTCTTCGGTCCAGTTTGTCTCGCACCGGAAGAATCGAAGACATCGACGCATTATAATTACTTTCGATTAATAGAAATTAATATCAAAAGAGCTATGATATGTATTACGAAAATAAACAAAAAATAAACGCCAGTTCTGGTATGAAGTTCTATACAAAACTATAATTTCTCTGTTATATATTTGCAACGTTCGATTCAGATGATGTTAATGCAAACTGTAATGGATTTTTTTTCGATTTTCGCAATAGCTTACTGGATGTTTTGCCTCCATTGGGGGATTTAAGAAGGGACAGGACTGGGGGCTTTTGACTTCCACCAAGAAGAACTCATCATCATCATAAGGTTATCAGTCCTAAGACTGGTTGGACACGTACCTCCACTCTTTCCTATCCTGAGCTAATCTTCGCATTTCCGTAAAACTAGAACAGCCCACATCCTTAACTATTTGCGAACAGTAATCTAATCTAGGTCTACCTGTACCCCTTCAAACTTCCGTTTCTGCCTCTAATATGTCTCTGACTAGACCTTCATGCCTGAGAAAGTGCCCTAACAACCTATCTCGCCTATTTCTTATTGACTTCCATAGAGTCCTCTGTTCTCCTATTCTTTCCAATACCTCTTCATTTCTAACCTTTTCTACCCACGATATCCTCATCATTCGCCTATAACACCACATTTCGAAGGCTTCTAACCTTTCCTTTCCGCCGCTCCCACTGTTCATGTTTCGCACCTGTACAACGCCGTGCTCCAAACATACACCTTTAACAACCTTTTTCGAATTTCTAAATTAACGGTTCGCGAGCATAGAAGTGACTTCTTTTTATTAAAGGCGACACGACCCTGCGCTATCCTCTGCTTTATATCCCTACTACTCCTTCCGTCCTGACTTATCTGACTTCCTATGTATCTAAAATCAGCCACTTCTTCTAATTTTTCGTCTCCTATCTTTATATTCGCTCTTTCCCTGCTTTTTCTTCCCTTGCATACCAGTATTTTAGTTTTACTTTTATTTATTGTAGATGAAAAATAAAAGTTTCACAAAATTTTAAAAAAAACCACAGTTAGTTTAATAAATAAATTGATTTCTTAAACGTAACAAGGGGCATTACCAAAAAATTAAGTAGTAACTCCATGAAGGGTAAAATTGACGCTGATTGGATGGGTTGATCACCTTCGGGAAAATAGTTTCAATTTAATCTTTTAGATTATAAAAAGTATCACCTGCATTTTATTTTGTTGTCAGTGCAAGTGTTTTCCGTGCATACTGCAGTCTTGGAAGAGATACGGGAATTTTTTTTGTGTTACCACAACGAATTGCAAATGGTCCGCGTGAACCAGTTTCAAAATTCTAGCCAATTTCAAACAGAAGTCACCATAATCTGTACTAAGTGTTATGAAGATAAAACAGACGCTTGTTACAGTAGTTTGATAGCAGATTTCAGAACTTGAAAGTACAAAACAAAACTTACAAATTTTCGTTATTAATCGTTTCACAATCAATTTGGCTGAAATAATCAGTTATCCTATTCAATCAGTTGGAACTGACTAAACTGCAAAATCATTCTGCACTAAAAAGCCTTTTTTGCAGAAAGGTTATCTTCTTCAAAGTCACAAACTTCTTCAGAAGAAGTTGGAAATAATTTTTTGAAATTGTTACCAAACGAAGGCTGTTATTTTTTTGCAATAACTGCCCTGACCTTTTTAATTCTTAAGTAGTTTTATTCGATTATGGTAACGTGCCTATCACGTTGAGGTTACCTACGCCGATATTCGTTTCAGCAAGTCGATATCCATATATTTAAATAGACCTTGTTGGAGCATACGTAATCCTAAAATGTAGCATCGTACTACAGATGGCGTTCACCGCGCCATTTGTGGTACTTTCTAAAACGCGCTGTTAAGGCAGCAGGTAAAAGTTGGTATGTGTTCTGTCGGAGCTGCCTGCGATGCGCTGATGAGATCCAAAAAGATCGAAATCGCGATCCGCGTCTGGCAGGTTCGACAGAATACAGAAATACAGACCACTTCGAATTATTTTATTCGATTATGGTAACGTGCCTATCACGTTGAGGTTAACTACACCGGGAATCGTTTCAGCAAGTAGATATCCATATATTTAAATGGACCTTGCTGAAGCATACGTATTTCTTTCCAGTTTATAAGGGTTCTGTGAATACCCGGATAAAATGTAAACTGGTCCTGTTGTCACCAACTTAGACACTATTTAAAATTACAAATTCGAATTTAAATTAAAAATATTTCAGTACACAAAAAAGTGAAAAACTTAGGACTTCAACATAACTTTTAGGACAAAGACAAATTTTTTTTGTAGAGTTGCGTAATCAGTGAACCGCCAGTGACTTTTAAATCGTTAATTTCATCCATTTGTTAAAAAGGTTAGCCAGGCTCCACACCTACATCGATGAATATAAAATTCTTGATACTTTTTTGTTAAAGACGTTGTTTGATGTGAATGTGACACACGTTTTTACGAAATAAGGTATTATGTATATGAATACTTGCCTACCAAAAACGTTTCCTCATTTTTTATAGCAAGTAGATACATGAAGCGGTTTTAATAGGAAGCTGTGGAAGCCGCAGCTCCACGACACCATATCGTTCTGATCTCAGCCTCCAATTTATTATTCATTATTGTATTACGTAACAATTGACGACTGCAGCGATTGTTTCGATCGATATTGTTAACGTTTTAGATTTAGACGTAACAACGGACCGTGAAATTGTTTCTAGCTCCGCTAAGCCGACTCGTCCGTTAAGTTATGCTAAACAGACGGACAGAAAGACGACAACGCGAAGAAAAAGTTGCAATCTCGTTTTCTCATACTCGAACTGTTTATATCTGCATTCGTTCAACGTTTCGAAAATGAGAAAAAAAACGGATTAAAATGACTGTCGGTAATTTTAGGAGTGGTCAGTTATAAAAGTTTCGCAAGGGACCTTACAATGCGTTGAAATTTTGTTTTGTTTTATTATATTACGAACCGTATTAAAGTTATTTGAGTGTCCCGAATAAAAAAAGGGACAGCGCACATTGTGACAGTTAAATAAACAACGCAAGAATTATTTAATAATTACAATAATCATCATCATCATCATAAGGCCATCAGTCCGAAGACTGGTTGGATACGCACCTCCACTCTTTCCTATCCTGAGCTAATCTTCGCATTTCCCTAAAACTAGAAACACCCACATCCTTAACTATCTCTAATCTAGGTCTACCTCTACCCCACCTAACTTCCGTTTCCGCCTGTAATACGTCTGTGACTAGACCTTCATGACTGAGAAGGTGTCCTACTAACCTATCTCGCCTATTATTTATTGACTTCCATAGAGTCCTCTGTTCTCTACCTCTTCATTTCTAACCTTCTCTATCCACGGTATCCTCATCATTCGCCACATTTCGAACGCTTCTAACCTTTTCTTTTCCGCCGCGCCCACTGTCCATGTTTCGCACCCGTACAAAGCCGTGCTCCAAACATACACATTTAACAACCTTTTTCGAATTTCTAAATTAACCTTTCGCGAGCATAGAAGTGACTTCTTTTTATTAAAGGCGACACGACCCTGCGCTATCCTCTGCTTTATATCCCTACTACTCCTTCCATCCTCACTTATCTGGTATCTAAAATCAGTCACTTCTTCTAATTTTTCGTTTCCTATATTTATATCCGCTCTTTGCCTACTTTTCCTTACCTTGCTTCCCAGTATTTTTGTCTTACTTTTATTTATTTTCATACGGTACTGTTTTGTCAATACCGCCTCCATTTTATTTAAAGCTATCTCTAACTCCTAACTTAAAATACTATCTAATATTTTCTATACACTAATGTTAAATTCGTATAAGTTCTAATTACAACAGATTACCTAAAATTAATGAAGAGTATATCGTTACTGCTATCACACTCTCGCCGGGATTTGAACCTTTGGATATACGCACGATCACGAGTCGATATATGAAACATTGTTTCCTCATTAATATGTAGTGGTAATGATTACATTAAATTCACATTAATGTTAAAAAAAAAAGATTAAATATTCACCGCTATTAAAAGTTGCATATATCGATCAAGCTAGAGTATCTTCCGCTGGGTCAAATTAGGAAGGCCAAGTGTGTAGGAGTTGTAATTTTTTGTTCGTATATTTTCTACCTACCTACTTCTCTAAAAACTGCCTTAAACTATTCGAATGGTCAAAATCTTTTGAACAAAGCCTAACATCTCTAAAAAAAACTGTATACCAATTTATTGGAATTATTTCACCAGTAGTGTATGCTAATGTACATAACTGCATCCATATTCTGCCTAACAGTGCAAATTAACAATAATTTCGCATTTTACTATAAAAAGCGTTTCTATGACATCATTATTTGATAATCAAATCAACTGCGGCATTTATTTCGGCTTTTACACATCATGAAAACATACTTTGTTTGTTAGAATAAAACTTAAAAATGAAGAATGATTTTTACTTAGATTGGTATGTTCCTATTGAATCGTTAATCATAAATACTTAACAATATTCGGTAGGTCAGTTCAATTATATTACTAATAACGTAAAAACTCCCAAAAATTAACAAAAACAGAGCTGCGCCTTTGGTAGTTCATATCCAGGAACCCTTTCTATGTGTTATTAATTCTTAACGTGTTAATGAGGTAACTGCCAGTTTTAACATTTAAAGTATGATGTACCTATAACAATTAACATTATTATTATGTTTTTGATAATAATGAATGGGAAAAGGTGCTAAACGTACTTGAACATGTTCATTAATATTATTATATACAGGGAGTTGTCTTCGCGTTATACAATATCGTCACTCAACATTAGAAGAGTAGGGAATGAAAATAAATAAAAATGAATCGAAAGGATTGTACCTACCAATCTTTTCGATGACAGGTGCAAGTAGGGTTAGGACTATCACTATTTAGAAAGCGAGATAACACACGACCAGAAGGGAAAAAGTGATAGAAATATAAAACAGAGTTTAATTTGGGAATTCAAAAGAGACATATGAGTACGTTTAGCTTACGGCTCACTAAGGGTATGAATTGTGAACGGTGGGATCTGTAGAAAAAAATGTTTAGAAGCGTTTGAAATGTGGTGTCACAGAAGGATGTTAAAAATACGGAAGGTAGAAACAGTTAGAAATAAAGAGGAATTAAAAATAGTAAGAAAACAGAGGCCACTATGGAAATCAATAAGGAAATGGAGAGAAAGGTTGATAGGACACCTTCTGACGCATGGAAAACTAAGTAGACATATTAAACGAAGAAACAAAAGTAACGAAATGACAAAAATGGCAAAAAAACGAAAAGGAATTAGAAGCTTGCAAAGGAGGAGGTATGAGAAAGAGTAGGAGAACAGGGGCGCTACGGAAATTAATAAGCAAATGAAAAGAAAAGGCTGGTAGACTACCTTCTGAGGCATGGAAAATTATTTAGACATATTAGACGAAGAAAAAAAAGTAGGAAGTGACAAAAATGAGAAAGAATTAGAAGGCTGGAAATGAGGAGGTATTTGAAAGAACAGGAGAATAGGGGCACTATGGAAATTAATAAGGAAATGGAGAGAAAAGGTTGATGGGTTACATTCTGAGTCATGGAAAACTAGGTCGACATTTTAAACTAAGAAACAAAAGTAAGGAAGTGACAAAAATGGCAAAAATTAAGGAGGAATTACAACGCTGGAAACGAGGTGGTATTTGAAAGAACAGAAGAACAGGAAAGCTAAAAAAATCAATAAGGAAATGAAGAGATAGATTGATAGGACAACTTCTGAGGCATGGAAAGCTAGGTAGAATAACGCAGAAACAGGAGTAAAACAGGGAGAAAAAGGGCAAGAGATTAGAAGGTTGGAAATGAGGAGGTATTAAAAAGAGTAGGAGAACAGGGACGCTATGAAAATGGATAAGGAGAAAGAGAGAAAGGATGGTAGGACAACTTCTTATACATGAAGAGCTGGTTAGAGATATATTAGATGAAGTAATAGAAGCAAAGAATCCAGACAAGACCAGAAATGAGGAGATAATAGAAGGCTAGAATTGAATTATGCAAAATTGAAAACAGAGGACACTATGGAAATCAATAAGAAAAAGGAGAAAAGGCAAGGTAGACATATTAAACGCAGAAACAGAAGTTAAAAAGGACTTAAGAAGGCCAATATTAGATTATTGTTTGCAAATAGAGGTATGAGGTTATTTCTGGAAATGCTAAGATTGACTTAGAATAGGAAGAAACGAAGCCACATGTCTATCAGTCTTTGGACTAACAAACTTGTGGTAGTGACGATGATAATCATTAACTATATTAACTAGTATTTGCAGAAAACCACGAAATGGGAGTTTTACTAACGATAAGTAAAATAATGCGTGTTTTTGAATAATCTCTTTCATATATGTTATAAATTCCATAACTGAAAGTTTAGTTATGGCTACCGAAGTTAATAATAAATCTCACGAAACATTGACACAAAAAAAAGTAAAACCGATGTGACTAAAACCTTTCCTGAAAGCCTAAAACCATAAAACTATACTTCAAGTGTTTTACCATTTTTCTTAAAGTTTAACTAAAGGAGGTTTCGCAGTATTAAATAAGATATAATAGGCAATTAAACTTTAAGTAAATGATGTTGGTTTTTTTTAACGGATAAAAGCTAATTTACCTGAACTCCAACACCTTGTAAAGCGGCCACGCCTCCAACCTCCAACTCGGCGCATCTAAGAAGGTTTGGCGCCCACACGATTGCTATATTTCTTGTCGTCATCCCCGTCGACGGGCCATGTTTGGCGACACGGGCTAAATGACGCATCAGGTACTCTAAGGTTCTGAAATCAAATAAGGAACATTTTTAGCAAATAATTTGTTTACGATTAGGTACATAAGCTCTGTCGTAATAACAATGATTCAAAGATATATAATATAAATACTTCCTCAACTTCTGAAGTTGAATTTGATGAACTTCTAAAGCCTAGCCTTATCCTAACCTAAAATAGGACTTGAAAGATGGTTTTTGCATCTAGGGTGTGCTATCACTTTAATTATGTAATAATACTTTTCAGAATTATTATCCTGGTCTTAACAGTTTTCACTGGTGCAAGTGAAGATGGACTAATGCCAAAAAACCTCACTCAGATTTTTTTGGGATACTTATGCAGTTTCAACTCGGCTAGACTAACGTCTAATGTTTTAGGAATGACGCCTGTTGATGATATTATTATTGAAATAATTAGAACTATGTTCTGATTCCACATTTCTTTTATTTCATCAGCCAAAGGAATATATTTTTGAATTTTCTCAATATGTTTTTGTTTAAGATTTTTAGTGTTTGGTACAGCAACATATTGTAATGTTCGTGTGTTCAACAAATTAACTTTTACGAAGAAAACTATTTATTTACACTAATTACTATTAAACTTAAAAACACTATTAAATTATTACTAAGATTCGGTAATTATTCTATTTATTTACACTACTGTTACTATTCACTGTTCTATTTATTTCACTTCTATCACTGTCAATTTATATCTTGATTCACCTCTGCAACGGTCAATTTATTTCTACTCTTCACTTCTGTGATCGTCTCTTCCTTTTTATACTCCCTTGCCTACTTTCCGGAACATTCTCCAGCCGTCCAGAGAAGTCTCGTTTTCTTTGAACGGGTTAATTGCATTCTCGGAACGCAGGTACGACACACACGTTTACAGATACGACGCACATGAAGAAAAGCGCCCGCGGCTAGTCGGCGAATCGATAAGCCGCTCACACACATACGCCCGATCGCACACAATCACGCTCGTGGTCGCTACAATGTATTAGATAGGTTGTTTGTTATGTCAAGTCAAGTCTGTTATGATTAACCGGTTTGTCTGTAATCATGTCTCCATCCCTATAAAGCTTGACTAAGTGGTTTGTATTTATAGTATGGCTCAATTTGATCTATGAGTTTAAAATTTTTGGCTAACAGCGAGTGTATCTGTTTAGCAACATTATTATGCCTGTCGATGTATTGTCGGTTGGCTACCTAAAAATGAGCAACCCCCAATGATATGGTCCATTTTTTATGAGATGTGTTACTTACATGCTCGGCGTGTCCAATGAAATTGTGGGATTTTTTATAATATATTTTTCATAGTTTTTTGTTTTTATTATTTTGTCCTGATCGCTATCATGAATCCCTCAGTTTCTAAGAATATATTTCCTTTATTTAACCACATATCAGAGGCTTTTTTGTCTATAGGTTCCTGCTGTTGTTGGTTCGGGTATTTTACATTAAGCACTTTTGATTTAATTATTAAAAATTTCCCAGCTTCTTAATTTAATTTTCCTTATTTTGACCACAATTACTGCAATTTTTTGTGTTGTTATGGAGTATTTTCGTTAATGCACTATAAAAACTGATGATACCATCATGAGGACTTACTGAAAAGCTAAATCTGCCTCTTACGTGGCAGGTGATGAAAATGAGAAATAGTCTATTTGCGCGACTCATTATTTGGTACCGGCAAAGGTTCCGGTTGGAATTCCTGTTGATGCGTACGAAGATATTTTTGCATTTAGCGTGTAACCACATAAAACATATAAACAAATCAATTCATATGTTTGTGTATACATCTAATGCATAAAATGTACTGTTTTGCACAATTTAAAGTGATTTCATACAAAAAACCAACAACATCTCTTTGTCATATGAGCAAAATTAAAGCCTACGTTAAGTAAAAAATTGTTTGTTATTAGAAAACCAACAATCGACGTTTCGCCTTTTGTTACAGATAATATGCAAAGGTATATATAAAATTAAATGAACAGAACAACCTTATTAAATACTTATCGTCTTGATAAAGTCTTGTAACCAAGGGTGAAACGCCTACTGTCAGTTTTCTGGTAATGAACAACTTTTCATCTCATAACTCATATTGGTTTTGATTTGTCCTATTCTTTGAGCAAAGAAAGAAATGGAAAGTTGTCTTTTCATGCTCCAAATTAATAAACACATAATTCAATTATGTCAAAAAAATAATTACTTTTATGTGACTTAGGAATTGAAGGAAAAGTAGCGAAAGAGAGAATATAAAGATAGGAGACGAAAAATTAGAAGAAGTGGTCGATTTTAGGTATTTAGGAAGTCAGATAAGTCAGGACAGAAGAAGTAGTAGGGATATAAAGCAAAGAATAGCGTAGGGTCGAGTCCCTTTCAATAAGAAGAAGTCACTTCTAAGCTCACGAATGGTTAATTTAGAAATTCGAAAAAGAATGTTAAAGGTGTATGTTTGGAGCACGGCGCTGTACGAGTGGGCGCAGCGAATGATGAGGATATCGTGGATAGAGAAGGTTCGACATGAAGAGGTATTAGAAAGAATAGAACAGAGGATTCTATGGAAGTTAATAAGAAGTAGGCCAGATAGGCTGGTAGGACACCTTCTCAGGCATGAAGGTCTAGTCAGAGACATATTAGAGGCAGAAACGGAAGTTACGAGGGGTAGAGGTAGACCTGGATTAGATTACTGTTCGCAAATAGTTAAGGAATGGGTTGCTCTAGCTTTAGGGAAATGCGAAGATTAGGTTAGGATAGGAAAGAGTAGAGATGCGTGTCTAACCAGTCTTATGATTGACGACCTAATCATATGATGATGATAATGATATGACTCAAATTCAAAAATTAAGATGGACTAATTCGAAATTTAAAACTATCTATCAGAAACAGCCAGGAGTTGAATGTCGCCGTATTCTCTTACATACATCCATTGCAAAATCTTCGAAAATCTTAAATGATAACCTTCAAGAAGATTTAACGTGGAAAGGCACACTGCAGTATTTCCTACACAAGGAGTAATGCAACTTATAATATAAATTATGATGTTCATCTTTCTTAAAACATACTTAACAACTGAGTAATCATTTCAGTTTGCTCATGACTTACAGCGGCATTTTACAAATTGAATTTTGTCGCTGATTTAGTGAACAATACGTTTACGTATGATGAAACATTGAAGTGAAAAATTATGTTACGATGACGTTTCCATTAAATAGACAATTATACACATATATTAAAGAGAATTAATTCTACTACTGCAGATAACCTCAAATTAATGATTAATAATAATAATCGTAGCTTAGTGGTAAAGTAATGATGCGTAAAGCCAGCGACCCGGGTTCGATTCCCGACGAGGGTGTTATAGCAGCTACAACTTTTCCTCATTATTTTCAGGTTATCTGTAGTGTTAAAAATTTATTCAAAAATTAATTCATTTTGATGTATTAAAAACTCCACAAAAATTCTTCTAAAATATACCAACGATGTTTAAAGTTATGGTTCACAAGGTATATGCCGCTTTTATTGTGATGCAACATTTTGTTCACAAAAATAAGACACAATAGTACATGCGTCGAGACACATAATGCTGAATGTGAACAAAAGGTATCTTTATCATCACCATTACACCAAATTTTGCCGTCTCGGCATATTTTCGGAATTCATTAGCATCAGATCACTAAAGAGTTAATTAGCGGGTTTAATTAGAATTCAAGAATTCCACGACTGTATAAAATATAGCCAGACTCGTCGATTACGGATTACCATGTGAACCGTTACATAACACGGAACGTGCAGTGAAGTGCTTGATTTATTAAATATTTTTTTCGTTAATATATTTATGAAAATACGGTTAAGAATAGGGAATAATAACGCAATGTGTTACTGCAGAGAATTGGAAACACGCAAACCGTTGTCATTCAAATTCAAAGGTAAAGTGATATTTAATCTTTTACCAAAATTCGTTTTGCATATAAGTTAACGGATACGGCCGAAATATGAACGGTACCACGACATAACGAAAGCAGAAGAAAAACAAGAGCTTCACTTGCGTAATGTATCTTATCAAGTCCATTGCTAGGTACAACAATTTCGGAATATTAGCATCCATTTAACACGCTGTAGTTATTAAAATTTTTATTTGGGTAGCAGTTATACTAGAAAGAAATGCAAAGAAAAGGTTAGATGCGTTCGAAATGTGAAGTTACAGGCGAATGATGAGGATACTGTGGATAGAGAAGGTTAGAAATGAAGAGGTATTAGAAAGAATAGGAGAACAGAGGAAGTCAATAAGAGGCGTGATAGGTTGGTAGGACATCTTCTCAGGCATGAAGGTCTAGCCCGAGATATATTGAGCAGAAACAGGAGTTAAGAGGAGTAGAGGTAGATTTAGTTTAGATTACTGTTCGCAAGTAGTTAAGAATGTGGGTTGTTATAGTTTTGGAGAAATGCGAAGATTAGCTCAGGATAGGCAGAAGTGGAGATGCGTACCCGACCAGTCTTAGGACTGCCGACCTTATGATGATGAGTAGTTATACTGCGTTATTTCTGGGACTGAGGTCGTTCTTTAGCTGATGAATACAATGAAGTAAAGTAGGTGTGGTTTCTATGTCTTCTGGTAAATTTGAAGGTTATTTTTCCGCTAAAAAAGTGTCGTAGATGTGTCATTAAAAAAAAAAATTAGGACCGGACTGGGTTCGAACTGACGTATTCTCGAATTCACCAGAGATTACGTGTGGACCATTTAGTCATCGACATACGGCACTTATTCTTTTTCGTACTGTCTCATATTACAACAGGGAAGTAAGCTGTAACATATGTCAAAATCGAAACAAGTTCGTCATGACTCTACTTGATGACAATGAAAGCGATGTAACCTACAATTCTCTGGCGCAGTTTGTATTGTATTTAGTAAACAAATGTGAATTTCAGTCATTATCGATCGGATTAATTTGAACAGAGCATGTTGATGATGCACACGCAATTTCTCACGACCACTGCCTGTTCCGGAAGAACTAGATGTGTGACCAAATAATAATAATAATAGGTTGCAACGAGAAATAATAATAATAATAATAATAGTAACAAGAAAATTCTGTCAGCCAATCATATACTGCACAATATCTGTGACTCAGAATATAAAAATTGTTTTAGAAGCAAATGGCAGATGTTTTTGAGATTTCGGGTCAAAATTTTTAAAAATAATATCTTTTTCCAATGTTTTTGATGTTAGTATTGTTGTGGCTCATTTAAAAGTTTTAACAGTGTTGGGAAGTCATTTCCACTGCCCTGTTTGTACAAAATGGTGTTCTTTCAGTGTCTTATTCACTGAAAAAAAGGAAAAATGTCGAAAGAATGTAGCAATAGGTNAAGATTAATAATGATTAAATAGAAAAATTTATGGGGTGGCTGTAAACGGTACCACATAACGTATGTATGTATTGTAAATATATCATTTTGATAATATTCTATATATATGGCTAAATTGGTGCAGGCGCACAGAAATCTATATTTAAACTGAACTTTTTGAGGTACTTATTGTGTATTCTACCTTTTGTCCAATGGTGTAGCGAAAGGGAGAAGGGGGGGGGGTGAAAGACAATAGTTCTGAAAACCACAATTACGTAAAATCATTTAATACTCATAAACACTAGTTTATATTATTTATTACATGTATGTAAGTACGCCACTGATGATTCTATCGTGTTTAAAAAAATAATTAAGCGTAGCAGACTATCAATTAGCAACTTCCAACGATATAACCAAAAACAGAAGCAGTCGGAGGTTCTGTATTATTTACCTAATTAAATTATACATTGATACATTCTACCCTGCAAAAAAAAGACATTCTAAATTCGAATGCTTGACTTGGCAGGGGCGCGCCTCTACCGTGTCCTTCAATACTTCACAAAATAATACTTCTTGTGGTTATTCTGTGCAAGTTGATGCTCTAAATTTCTTGGTGTTCGAAGCACGTGATCAGCCACCTTAAAACGCAAGAAAAAGACAGTGTGCCGCAACGCTACGCCAAAAAAGAGAAGCATTCTGATGTCGTGCCTCGATCTTACGATTGATTAATTAAATTACATAGCGTCCATTATCGTAGTTTGCGTTTTTTAACGCCTTTAATTAGACGACACCACGTTGGCACGTTATAAGATCAACTATTTGTTAACGCAGCTCCAGCTTCTACCATTTCACCATTTCTTATATCCTGCCTTGAATCTCGTTTAAAATTTTGAAACTTAATCGAAAACGCCCGTCGAAAACTAAAGAACTTAGCGACTTATTGTTATACTGTAATTCTTCTTTCGACGACGGTGGGACAGACGGCATGCGGTCTCGCAACCGCAACGAATTTTTCGTCGTCGCCAACTAATTAAATAACCATCTATCTTAATACTTCTGTCGAGATTCGAATAATAAAATCAGCAACAAAATAAATAAATATTCATGACAATGATAAAGATAACTTTAATTGGTAATAATTCTAATAAATAATATATACTTCAGTGTACGTATCTCTTCGGTAAATTGCTCTTTCTGGGATTAAAGGGTGAAAATGTGCCTCGGATATGTCTACCTCAGAAATCCAAAAAGTTGTTAATTTAATCGGAATTTTTAATTAAAAATTAGTATTTTGAAGAGTTAAACGCGTGTAAATGTCAATATTCAGGCGTGTAGGGTCGTGGATACTCAATAGGATGGCAAAGGCAAATCTAAAGGCCGCGGACAGTTGGAATTTCTTGCTAACGTTTCGCTAGCAAGAATGGCGAACTTCTTGAGATATCTTTCCCTTTTCGATGCTGGATGGAAGGAAGAAAAGGATTATGTCTGGAGCATGGATATGTATTACGAGGTGTTGCAGGTGAATGATGAGGATAGAGAAGGTTAGAAATGAGCAGGTATTAGAAAGAGAACAGAAGGCGATATGGAGGTCACTAAGAAATGGACGGGATAGGCAGATACGAAAGTCTAGTTAAAGACGTTAAAAACAGGAGTTAAGAGGAGAGAGGAGTAGAGGTAGACTTAGGTTAGATTACTGTTAAGGATGTGGGGTGTTCTAGTGAAGGTGCGCTCAGGATAGAAAAAAGTGGAAGTGATGATGATGTTTATGAATGATTCACTATGCACATCATCATCATCATCATCATAAGGTCGTCAGTCCTAAGACTAGTTGGACACACACCTCCACTCCTTCCTATCCTGAGCTAATCTTCGCATTTGCCTAAAACCAGAACAACCCATACCCGTACCTATCTACTAACAGTAATCTAATCCAGGTCTACCTCTACCCCTCCTAACTCCTGTTTCTGTCACTAATATGTCTCCGACTAGACCTTCATGCCTGAGAAGGTGTCCTACCAACCTATCCCGCCTATTTCTTATTGTCTTCCATAGAGTCCTCTGTTATCCTATTCTTTCCAATACCTCTTCATTTCTAACCTTTTCTACCCACGATATCCTCATCATCCGCCTATGACACCACATTTCGAACGCTTCTAACCTTTTCTTTTCCTCCGCGCCCACTGTCCATGTTTCGCACCCGTACAGCGCCATACTCCAAACATAAACCTTTAACAACCTTTTTTGAATTTCTAAATTAACTGTTCGCGAGCATAGAAGTGACTTCTTTTTGTTGAAGGCGACTCGACCCTGCGCTATCCTCTGCTTTATATCCCTGTTACCCCTTCCGTCCTGACTTATCACATCCTAGATACCTGAAATCGGTAACTTCTTATAATTTTTCGTCTCTTATCTTTATATTCGCTCTTTCCCTAGTTTTCCTTTGCTTGCATACCAGTATTTTTGTTTTACTTTTATTTATTATCAATACCGCTTCCAATTTATTTAAAACTATCTCTAACTCCTTACTATGCACAAAAAATATTTAAAAATACTAAGGCTAAAAGGTTACCGTGAATGTTTACTACTAAAAATGGTTGAATATGAATATCGATAATTCCACCGGAATACTTCAACTAAGAAGATTCTTTCCTTTATAATTCGTGATACTTTTTTTACCTCATAACATTAACTGTGGAGTTAGGCGAATACGAAGACGTTAAGTTAATACTATCTGGACGACATGGCGATTGCGTTTTGTTGTCATTGTTGTTGAGCAACAGTACCTATCTGATGCAAGATAATCAACAATCCTCTAGGTATGCTATTTAATTTTTTCGCCGTTCATATAAAAATTGAATTCCAACTAATTCACGCTTCTTTATCGCATCTGGCGCGGTCGCGAAGATTGCGCTTCGAATTTTTTCGCGTGCCGCGCATTCGAATCGCTTAAAACACCTTGTTAATGTCATTTCATATTGTAAGCCGTGACAAAAATAATCTTAGCATTTTTAACTTATATTTGCAACAGAGTGGCTTTTTCTAATATTGCAAAACCCATGACTCTCATTGCACTGTAATAGAGCAGAAGACTTAATTTTTGTAAAGTTCAAAGCGATTTTGAAGAACCAAAAATAACAACCTTCCAACCCTTAATTGCCTTGAAGTTTCTTTAATATATTCCAAACTAAGGGATGAAATAGAGAACAGATTAATTTTTGTAAGTTATACATGAAGAAATTGTCAAAAATTAACAATTCCCAAATGAATTAACTTGTACTCATCCCACACTATTCATAACCTAACCTAACCCATTAAAAAATGAACAATAAATACGATACTGAATTAATTTTTTTATTAACTAGCTAATTCGCGGTCCGGGTTCGATTCCCGGAGAGGGAGTGTCAGCAGTAACAATTTTTTATTCACTTCCATAGAATCCTCTGCTCTTCATTTCTAACCTTCTCTATCCGGCTTGACCCTGCACTATCCTCTGCTTTATATCCCTACTACTCCTTCCGTCCTAACTTATCTGACTTCCTAGATACCTAAAATCAGCCGCTTCTTCTAATTTTTCGTTTCCTATCTTTACATTCGCTCATTCCTTACTTTTACTTCTCTTGCATGCCAGTATTTTTATATTACATTTGTTTATTTTCATACAATACTGTGTTGTCAACACCATTATCATTTCATTTAAAGCTATTTCTAACGCCTCCTTGCTAGATGCTAATACTGCTACATCATCTGCAAATTTAAGCATACTAATCTATTGTCCCTGTATATCTATCCCTACAGTTGTACTGTCTTTAAGGATGTTGATCGCGTCTTCGATATACAGGGTGTCCCAGTTATAATAATTAAAAAAAGAAAACATGGCTTCCTGACACAAAATACAACAAAAAAGTGTTATACAATTTTTCAATCCAGTGACAATTGAGCTAGCAAATCGTCTTTGTAAATTTGAACGTACAATTTGTTTCATTACGGGCCTGGATCTAGGCGACTAACGTCGCTCAGCTGATCTAGTGTGGATGTAACAAGTACCTACCGGGAAGAAGCCGAATGCACTTCCACCTTGTAAAAAAAAGGTAAAAGTGAAAAAGAAATGCGTACCTTTTTTAAAAAATGTTTAAATTGTCCGCCATTCGCTTCAATGCAACACTGACAGCGACGTACCCAGTTGCTGCGAATTTTGGCCCAGATACCGGGAATATTTCGAATTATCCGATAGGCATTGGTAATGTAACTCACCACCAACTGACGGTTGAATAAGAACCGTACTAGAATGCACTATCACACTACTAATTGTCCTTATTGTAATAGTCTTTTATGAAATGACCACTAAATAAATAAACTAACACTAACAAACAAGTAAATTCCACAACAATCCAAAGCGAACTGAACAACCTGTTAGAATCTACAACATTATGTGCCTTGTTTTCGAGTCACTTCCAGCAGTGTAATTATACGAGGTTATATCAATACTTAGCTTTTTACATTTAATGAAAACAAAATAACCAAAATTGGTCCTTCTGGACACACCCTTGTATTACCCCACGTGGGGTTAATGAGCCCTGCCAGGCAAAAGTAACGTTTAACACATGTGAATGGTCAAAGTAGGTCTGCATCTTGTCTCAACTTTTACAACCATAACACATACATTTGTTTTCGTACACTAGTACGTTATGTTACAAACTTTTACCAAACGCTGGGTGGTGAGGGTTGTTTGTGCACCGCTTCTAACTATTCCGTAGTTGTTAAAATTTCTTTTCTATTTAAAATAACATAATACTCGACGTCATGGACTACATTAGGTCCACTTCAGTTTACGATCACGGGATTTTCGATTGTGATAGGTACATAGTTTTTCTAACGTGTTTCAGTCATCTAATGGACCTTAACGCGAGTGCATTTTCTTCAGCTGATCCGTAACTTAATACCAAACATAAACAATAACATCACCCCAAAAACCAGCTGATTCCGACCTACTGAAGGTGAATTTTTCTACGATCAGCTGGCAATCGTAATTAATTTGCGATTGTTCAGGACCGGCATCGAAACTGTTATAATTTTATAATTTTTTATTTTGTTTTAAAAGTCAAAAGTGTTATAACATTTTATGTTCCAAATGTCGGTAGGAATCTGTGGTATAAATATTAATTATTATAACTGGGACACCCTATATAGATTAAAAAGTAGTGGTGACAGTGTGCATCCTTGTCTGACTCCATTCCTAATACTTACTTGTCTATGTTGCTACTCCAGCTCTATATCTGCCTGTCGCTCTTTATACAAACTAAGTATCACTCTTCTATCTCTGTACCTCATCCCTACATTTTTAAGTATAATTAACATCTTACACCACTTAACACTGAAAGAAAGCGTTTTCTAAATCTATAAATCCTATGTAGGCACTATTTCCTTTTTCCATCTTTTCTCTATAAAACCCGTAAGTACAGCTAGAATAGCAGCCTGAACGTTTTAAGACGGGTAGTACCAAAAGCGCGCACGCGCAATAAACGGCTACATCATTTAGAGAGATGTTCTGCCCTTATAGTGAAATTTAATATTTAACAACTTTTAACCCATTTAACATTGTCGAAATCTTTTTCTTAATCTACAAATCCTATGTACGCGCTCTTTGTAACCACTGCAAAATGTGAAATTTATAAACAAAAAAAAAGCTTACCTATAATGTGGGGGCGGCAACTTTTGTACAACCTCCCTCATTTTCAGCAGCCTATCCCTGTCGTTGGTAGAATTCCTGTTGACACTGTGGCAACCTTGCACCGCACTAACAAAACCCTGATACAGTTGGTAGGTACAGAGGGGGTTAGGCAACTCCCTGAAACAAACAAAAATAATCAATGAAAAATCAATGCAAGTAAAACCTTTTGGCTCTTCAATTCCAGAATAAATATCGTTATCCTTAGTTTAAAATTAATTTTTTCTTTTTAGGAGTTATCACCCTCGTCCTTTTCTTCGCAATTTTCGATTCGAGTCATCAAGGGTCAAGTAAGTAAAAAATGCAAAGTATCGTCATGTTTAGACAATTTTTTTTAATTAACACCGCTATTATCAATTAATTACTTGTTCATAACTATTTTACACACTTTATCGCTTTTCGCCCTGAATTCAACTGTTTCTTTCGAAAAAACTTTTGAGTGCTTCATTCCCACCAGCCACTTATGCTGGTCGGCGGGCAGTCCCTTCGGATTACGCCGGAAGGCCCTCTTAAGCATCCTTTCAGGAATCGTGGGAATGGATGGGTGGTGGTTCGGGTGAGAAAGATGAGACGGACGAAATAAAGACAGAATAGAATGAAAGATTATCTGTGGAATATTACTGCTCCAGCATTTGCCTAAGCGATCCAAGGAAACCACAGAAAAACTTGGTCCAAGGCAGACGGACCCGGAATCGGACCGGAGTCCTCCCGAATGCTAAGCAATGGTCTAACTTCTAGGCCATGCCGCTCGGTCAAGCTTTTTCTGATCTCGCGGCAACTATTTATAGGTGTCGGACTTGTTCTAGAAAGATCCCAGAATGTACTTCTAGAGACTTTTGGCTTCTTACTTACTAACAATTTAGGCAACCTACTATAAGTTATTTGGCGCTTCTTTATGCATGTTGACCTACCTACACGTGACACTATCATTAGCTAAACAGAAATTAAACTTTAAGCTTTATCGCCTAACCGAACTAACCGCGTTTTATCCAACTCTTATAACGCTATGTACTCACAGAGATAATCTTAATAAATAAATCTGTGCAGTTCCAAACACACTCGAATGGGAATGTGCTCCAGACGACACGATTATACCCGATCCTCATGACTGTCGAAAGTTCTACAATTGCGTTTATGGAAGGCTCAAGTCTGAGACGTGTCCTGTAAATACTCATTTTAACCCAGACTACCTAATCTGCGATTGGCCTGAAAATGTCCACTGCGCACAAGGAACCGTAAGAGTCCCTAAAGGGCCTTTCGGCTCCTCCCCGTACGTAAGCGAAGACTCTTCAGGGGGAGACAATTCTGGAATGCACTCTTCCAATGGCGACGACACTTCTCAAGGTTCATCTTCAGGAAGTTACGGTTCGGGTTATGGAAACTCACAATCGTACTATGGGAACAAAGGTTATTCTAGTTCTGCTAGTAATGCTGGGTCATACGAACCAAACAGTGTTACAGGTTTTACAAAACAACCTGGTTCCCTTTATTCTAATAAAAATACAGGAAAATATGGATGGAATGGCCAAAATCAGGGTAAACCATCGTGGTTGACACATGGTGGATCGTCTTCATATCCTGGAAGTAGAGGACCATCTGGTCCTTCGGTATCATATGGTGCTGTTGTAGGGCCAACAGGACCTCATGTTTCTTATGGGCCTCTTGTAGGGCCCAAAGGTCCATCAGTAACCTACGGAAAAAGCATAGGTCCTGTGGGACCTTCAGTATCTTACGAAGGCCAGGTAGGCCCAAAGGGTCCTACTGTGTCATATGGAGGCGGGGTAAGCCCGGAAGGACCTTCGATATCTTATGGTGGGCATGAAGGCCCGAATGGTCCTTCTGTATCTTATGGAGTTGGGAGAGGCCCAGGAGAACCTTCAGTATCTTATGGAGGACAGGAGGGCCCAAGTGGTCCCTCTACTTCTTATGGAGGACAGGAAGGCCCAAGTGGTCCCTCTACTTCATATGGAGGCAACACTGGATCAGCAGGATCTTCTGCATTGTACGGTAAAAATCAAGGACCACAAGGTCCTTCTGCATTTTCACCAGAAAATATTGACATGACTAGGCCATATAATCAAGGATCAAGTTCTGGATTAAACGGTCCTATACCAAGTGGTCCATCAAATTCCTATTCTGGAAATTCTGGAAATTCTGAACCGAATAGTGTATCGGGATATTATCCTGGAAGCTATCCGCCAAATAACGATCAATCTAAACCCTACTCGAGTTACGGAGGCATGGGGGGAAATCAAGGACAATCGAGTTCTTTCGGAAACGGCTATCCTAGTCAGCCTTACGGTCCAGGTGGTAAGCATGTCGCAATCTTATTAGTTTAGAAACGAGTCTCTATAAATAGGCGTTAAAGTTTCTAACAAATGACATTCCAGGAATTCTAAATTATCTAATTCGTCCATTTTATAATCCTCTATAATAGTGGACAGTTAACAGTGCAACGATGTTAATTTCTTTTTGCCTTCTTTTAATTATTCATTGCAGATGACATAATGAACTTCTACTTCGACTTTATTTATACAACCTCATCGTAGAACTACAATGCAAATTAAAATTGCAATAACTGATTTGTACGGCTCGTTATTATTTTAATAAGGTGTAATTTTTTTTAATAAATATCGATAAATGGGAAGCAGTTATAATTAGAATAGAGGACCTAATAATTACTTTTTAATTAACTTCTTCGAATAATAAGTTACTGTTACAATTATGTAATGCAACTTCTTGTTTCTCCTGAAAACGCGACACAGTTGTCACATCTGAAAAAAAGATACGTTTCAATGCTTTTTAGCATGACAAGTTCCCAAGGCTTTGAACTATTACACACAGGTGTACAACAATATGTACTTTTGTAGGGATTATTTTAGTAAAGTAATAAGCACTTATATAATAAAATAATTCGTAGTGGGCTGTATTCTGTCGAAACTGCCAGCCGCGGATCGTGATTTCGATCTTTTTGGATCTCACCAGTGCGTCGCAGGCAGCTCCGACAGAACACAGACCAACTTTTACCGGCTGTCTTAACAGCGCGTTTTAGAAAATACCACAAATGGCGCGGTAAACGCCATCTGTAGTACGATGCTACATTTTAGGATTACGTATGCTCCAACAAGGTCTCCACTTGTGTGGATATCTACCTTACGTTGAGGTTAGCTACGCCGGGATTCGCAAGTAGATATCCACACAAGTGGACCTTGTTGGAGCATACGTAATCCTAATATGTAGCATCGTGCTACAGATGGCGTTTACCGCGCCATTTGTGGTATTTTCTAAAAAGCATTTATATAGTTTAATATATAATATACTTATTTTCTATTTTGTGTAATTTATTTTTGCTATGTCCCTTATCGCCTTTAAATCCTGCTTTTATTTTAGACAATGTTCATTCCCAGTTGAAGCATTTCGTTAGGAATATTCTAAATCGAAAAATGACCTCTACAAAAGTTGTTCGGTTTGAAGGGGGTGATTTGATTCTCAATTGTTTTTTTTTTTTTTTGATATCCAAATCCAATATATCATAGAAAAAAAGGCCAAAACAGAAAATTGTATCTATAAATGTTATTGATTCCTATGGCGGTCATATTACAACAGCGATCTCATTGGGGTCCTGGGCAACAGAATCAAATGACCCCTTTGGAACCCAACAACATTGTAGAGGTCATTTTCCGATTTCAAACTTCCTTTACGAAATATTTGCGATGATAAATTAAAATGGGACACTTGGTATAATATAATGTTTCTTTAATTCGCAGGGTATTATCCTTTCTGTACCGATCAGTCTCATCAGCATTCTAATCCAAAAGAACACGAAGCATCTGGGATACAGACCACTACAACAGATAATTATTCTGGGCCAACCAATGCACCTCCAGGTGACTCAACTACATCTGCGGCATCACACCCAGGAAATGCGGAATCGACCGGCTCCCCTACCGTATCCACTTCGCAACCTTCCAATAATAATGAGATTTCCAGTACACCATCGGACTGGAAGTCATCAACACTTCTGCCGCAAACTAGTACCACGTTACCAAGTGGCATCACAACAACGAGTTCAAATGCTGCACAAGAAGAAGGGCAACAAGGGGGCCCATCAACGAATACAGCAAAGAAAAGTAAACGTAACTGTGTTTGTACAGACGAATGAAAGCGAACGTTTGATTGTTATTGTTATATATCATAAAATAAAAAATATAAAAGAAGTTCTTATTCTTTTTGAGGATTGTATTCCATTTTTGGAAAGAAAACAATTAAAAAGTAAGTTTAAACAAAAAAAATTAGTTTCTCCTTCGTTACTTATCTACAAGCATTTAAACAAATGTTCAAAATGGTAGTAAACATCATATAACAATCAGAGCTCAAAAATTAGGAAAGAGTAGGAGAACAGAGGGCACTATAGTAGTCAATATGAAGTAGACGACATGGGTTATTGATAAGGAACCTTTTCAGGCATGAAGAGCTAGTTAGAGACGTATTAGAAGAAGAAAAAGGATCTAAGAGGACTGGTGGTAGACTTAGAATAGATTACTGTGTACAAATACGTAAGGATGTGGGATGTTCTAGTTTAAGACCGAGCGGCATGGCCTAGCGGTTTAGACCATTGCTTAGCATTCGGGAGCACGCCGATTCGATTCCGGGTCCGTCTGCCTTGGTTCAAGTTTTTCTGTGGTTTCCTTGGATGACTTAGGCAAATGCTGGGGCAGTAATATTCCACAGATAATCTTTCACTTTCTTCTGTCTTCATTTCGTCCGTCTCATCTTTCTCACCCGAACCACCACCCACCCATTCCCACGATTCCTGACAGCAGGCTGAAGAGGGCCTTCCGCCCTACCTTCCGGCATAGTCCGGAGGGACTGCCCGCCCACCAGCATTACTGGCTGGTGGGAAAGAAACACCCAAAAGTTTTTTTTAGTTTTATAGTTTTAGAAAAAGGCGAAGATTACCTCAGGATAGAAAAGAGCAGAGGTGCGTGCGTGTTTTAGGACTGACAACTTCATGATAATAATTAAATTAAAAATTCCTATACTGACTCAAAACTCTCTAGATCTCGGGATATTACCTTAAGCCTGGTAATCTCGTTTAAATATCGAATGTGTTGATGTCAAAAGTAAGAACTAACGTTGGATTCCTGTTTGAGTCAACATATGTGAAATATTCACTCACAGATTTAGCTTACGGTTCAGTACTTCAAACTTAAGTTTCACTTAAGTTATTTTGGAGTAAAGAAGGAATCCAACGCAGCGCTCACGTTGATAAACATTACTCAAAATCCTGTACACTTACGTGGAACACAAGTAGAATCCATTTACTTAAAGTAATTCTAACCTTTATTGTTCTTATAGCACGGCTAATTAGATTTGAATGCTACAGGTTTAACTGTTTATATTCCACAAAATTTCTGAATAACTTTTGATAAATAAAATCGTTCAGTATGCACCATACTCATGAAATCAGCATTTTTAGCGTTCTGTATCTCTAAAATACACGCATTTGTTTTTAATTTTGAAAACTAGATTTGAAGTAATGAAAACACGAAAAAAATTTATATAAGTAATTACTTTCTGTTACGTAAACACCAACCTAACTCTCCTGGTGCATAACGTGTGCCATTGTAAAATCGAGTTCAGCAACGGTTATTTAATTTAGCATCGCGTCCAGTCGTGATACTGCAATTTTTCGCCAATTTATATCGATTAATCAATTATTCATTGATACATGTATATTCAATTAAAGTTGCATCAACTGTCGGATGCAAATATTCAAACGTTGCAACGAGAAATAATAATAATAATAATAATAGTAACAAGAAGAAGACCGGAGCAAGAAGTGCTGATAGTCCATTACGTAATTCAATCAGCGCCATTTCAACCTCTGGTACATTATTATAACTTAATGAATGCAGATTTTAATCCTGAGGACAAAATTATGAAAGAAAAATTCAAAATTGAAATGTGGAAATCAAAAGTGCTTCATGGAAAATACCCGAACCAACAACAGCATCAGGAACACATAGATCAAGAAGCTTTTAATATATGTGGTTAAAGAAAGGAAATATATTCTTAGTAACTGAGGGACTCATGATAGCGATTCAGCACAAAATAATAAAAGAAAATTGGTTTCCATATGGTACCCCAAAAAATGTGAGTGAGATCCTTGGCATTAGCCCGTTTACACTTGCTCAAAGTTGACCAGTGAAAACTGAGAAGACCGGAAAATAATAATAATAATAATAATAACAGCAGTAATCGGTACCGAACACGTTGTGCAACGGTCTTTTTAATTGAATAATTAAGTTATCTGTGGTAGGCAATCGTTCGTCTCTCCGTCCGTTGCTGATGTTCTTCTCGGAATCGATGGCTCGAACGGATATCTTAAGCGATGTCTTCAATTTATTAGACGGTGCTGTTATTATCATGCCGTTTATTGAAGAGGCATAAAAAGTCATGAAGAATAAGTCGTTATGAAATTTAGCCGAAGATGGTGACGCTGACGAAGTCATACTGAAAATCTTGAAAGATTGGCTTCTTTACAATGAATTAGAAGAAGAAGTGTGTCATAATACGTAATCATTTATTCTGGTTATGACAGATCGGTAATATATATATACATGTTGTATGGGCAAGGTTATAGAATCTACAATTATGGAAGACACGGATGAAAATACATTATATTTTCAATAAAAATAAGTCACTTCTATGCTCGTGAACGATTAATTTAGAAATTCGAAAAAGATTGTTAAAAGTGTGTGTTTGAAGTGCGGCGGAAAAAAAAGGTTAAATGCGTCCGAAATGTGGTGTTACAGGCGAATGATGAGGATACCGTGGATAGAGAAGGTTAGAAATGAAGAAGTATTAGAAAGAGTAAGAAAACAGAGGACTCTATGGAAGTCAATAAGAAATAGGCGAGATAGGTTAGTACCTTCTCAGGCATGAAGGTCTAATCAGAGACAGGAGTTAGGAGCAGATGTAGACCTAGATTAGATTACTGTTCGCAAATAGTTAAGGATGTGGATTTTCTAGTTTTAGGGAAATGCAAAGATTAGCTCAGGAAAGAGGGGAGGTGCGGGTCCAACCAGTCTTAGGACTGACGACCTTATGATGATGATAAGGTCATAGTCTATTAATGATTTACTGACTCAGGCTAAACTTTTGGAACTGGAGAGCTGAAATATTGCACACAGGCTTTCTTTATGATATTTACAAAGAATAAGGATATCATTTTTGGTTGCATACGGACTAATTTTAACCTGGATCTTCTAGATCCTAAACCGTTGGGCTTTTGATTAACTATNCAGTGAAAACTGAGAAGACCGGAAAATAATAATAATAATAATAATCATAAATTAATTTACAGGTGCTACAATTAGTTTACAACTAAGGTATATATTGTTGGAATTATTAGTTTTACTACTGGTGAGGACATGAATCCAGCTATTTTAGACGAATCTCAAACTACCCAGTTGACAGTTGTTGTAGTTAATCAATGTATGAATTCAAATTTTGATAATACACAACTAGGTTAAACAAAATACTTAAAACATTTCAATCAGGTAGAAACAAAGTTAAAGCTATTAACACATATGCCATACCGGTGCTCACCTACTCCTTCGGGATAATTCGTTGGTCCGATACTGATTTAGACTCACTTAATAGGCTAACAAGAACTGTTGAAAGGTTTAGAATCAAAAGACAGTTAGGTGGAAGAGGAATAATTGATATTAAAAATCTACATTACAAACAGATTATTCATTTGCGGTCATATTTTAGAGAAAGAAGTGCTGATACTTCGTTACATAATTCAATCTGTGTCATTTCAACCTCTGGTACATCACTAAACCTTAATGATGTAGATTATAATCCTGAGGATAAAATTATGAAACAAAAATTAAAAATTGAAATGTGAAAATTAAAAGTGCTTCGTGGAAAATACCCGAACCAACAACAGCAGGAACATATAGATCAAGAAGCTTCTCATATATATGTGGTTAAAGAAAGGAAATATATACTTATAAACTGAGGGACTCATGATAGCGATTCAGGATAAAATAATAAAAATAAAAAACTATGAAAGATATATTATTAAAAATCCCACAATTTCATCGGACTCATGTCGAGCATGCAACATATCTCGCGAAACAATTGACCACATCACTGGGGGTTGCTCATTTTTAGCCAGCCGACAATACATCGACAGGCATAATAATGTTGCTAAACAGATACACTCGCTGTTAGCCAAAAAGTTTAAACTCATAGAACAGATAGAGCCCTACTACAAATACAAACCACAAAATGTGTTAGAAAACCACTTAGCCAAGCTTTATTGGGATAGAGACGTAATTACAGATAAAACAGTTAATCATAACAGACCTGATATCACACTGACCATCAAAGACACTAAAACGACCTACCTAATAGATGTTGCTGTATGAAACACTGAAAATCTTGAACAAAAACATATTGAGAAAATTTAAAAATATATTCCATTAGCAGATGAAATAAAAGACATGTGGAATCAGAACACAGTTTGAATTATTCCAGTAATAATATCATCAATAGGCGTCATACCTAAAACATTACACGCTAGCCTAGCTGAGTTGAAACTGCATAAACTAAAGTACCTCAGTCTACAGGAATCAGTAATCCTTGATACTGACATATCCCCCTTTCCAGATAACACAACAGGTTAAATTAGAAGCGGAGTTTTTAATAATCACCGATCATATTTCAGAGCAAGAAGTACTGTTAGCTCTATAAAATTTAAGAACAGAAAATTGGTTTCCATATCCTATCCGAAAAGATGTGTGAGGTTCTTTGGCATTAGCCTGTTTTCACTTGCTCAAAGTGGATCAGTGAAAACTGAGAAGACCGGAAAATAATAATAATAATAGTAACAACAGCAGTAATCGGTACCGAACACGTTGTGCAACGGTCTTTTTAATTGAATAATTAAGTTATCTGTGGTAGGCAATCGTTCGTCTCTCCGTCCGTTGCTGATGTTCTTCTCGGAATCGATGGCTCGAACGGATATCTTAAGCGATGTCTTCAATTTATTAGACGGTGCTGTTATTATCATGCCGTTTATTGAAGAGGCATAAAAAGTCATGAAGAATAAGTCGTTATGAAATTTAGCCGAAGATGGTGACGCTGACGAAGTCATACTGAAAATCTTGAAAGATTGGCTTCTTTACAATGAATTAGAAGA